CCATTTTTAAATTCATGAGACTCGAGCAATGCGCGGTCGCAGACCCCGGGGAAGAAACAGCCCCTCGGTGTTTTCAGTGCTTTGGCGGTGTGGCCCAGCTGGAGAGGAGAGGGAAATGTCAGGCTTGAAGGGAGATATGAGAGATGCCTGGAAAACAGATCGGTAATCTGGAGGTTTAACCAGGTTCTCTGAGCTGGCCCTGCTCCCACACGCAGCTCTCCTCCCCAGCACAGGCTGTGACCCCCCAAAACTGGCAGCCCCAGCTCTCCAGAGAAGGATGAGGATCACCAGCGTGGGACTCGCTCCCATCCTATCCCAACAGTGTCCCCTTGAGGTTGGTGGCTGAGGCAGACTGGGAAGAGCCCTCATGGAGGTGCAGGGGAACCCCTGAAGCTGCTCTTGTTATCCAGGCTGGTCCAAACAACAAATCCCAGCAGCTGTGGGTCAGCCTGAGTGAAAGAACCTGGAGGAGCCCACCCCACAGTGGTTGTGGGACCTCCACACTCGGGAGTGGAGCACTTGGAGAACCACTCAGATAAGAATCTCCTTCCAAGTTGATTCTGTGAATGTCCAAAGCTGGGCCAGTGCAGCCCATCCTGCAGCACCTGGAGCGTGGGAGCTCCTCCAGCACCGAGGAGCCGGAGTGGGAGGGTCTGTGCAGCCACGGGAGGTTGGAAAGTGGAGCCCCTGCGGAGGACACAGGGCTCCCTCTCCACTGCTGCTGCTGGAATCTCCTTTCTTCTGGCAGCCAAGCAGCAGGGAGTATTCTGAGAAACTGCCCACAGGGAGCGATCACTTTTTCCAGTCATTAACCTTGCACATCCCTCACATTACCGGAATATCTTGGATGTCTAAGTTGCTGCAGCGAGCTAATTCCTCCAGGTGACTCCAGGCAGCGATAAGTGGGCTCCTGCACAGCGAGGGGATTTGAAGTGCCGGAGCTGAAAGCGCTCCCGACTCCGGCACGCCAGGCCTCCAGCAGGGGACACAGCCTCAGATGTCACAGCACGGTGGCAGGAGGGATCCGGGCCTCTGGAGATGTCATTTCCAACCTGCAGTCAGCAGGCACCCAGGGGAGCCAAGAAAAAGAGAGGAGGGCCAGGCACGGGCTTGAGATGCACAGTGCAGGGTGCTGTGCCCCAGGGAAAAGGGCTGTGGTTGAAGGATACTGGGGAAAAAGATATTTGCAAGATAGTGGGGAATAAAAACCAGTGCCCTGAAGGGATAAATGTTGGGAACTGCCAGTGCTGGCCTCTGGGATAGGTGTGAATCTGGCTGGTGTCGCTGCACTGGGTGCCCCAGCCCTGGCAGAGCAGTAGATTTGCATCTGAACTCCTTCCTCTGGTGTAGAAGATGAGCACAAGGAGTGCTCAAAGACAAGGAGGAGCCCAAGAGAACCCTGAACCAATGAGAGAAGTATTTACAGCAGGATGGCTCTTATCGTATATACATAATATTAAATATAATATTCTTTTCTCTGATAAATCACAATGTCTTCCTGTTGTGTTTCCCGGATTATACATCATCAGTGCCAGGAGTGGCTGAGTAACAATATTCACACAAAAAATTGCAGAAGACATCAGATTTGTCTCTCATCAATGACAGATGTCCCTGTCAGTGGCAGCAGAGCAGGACCAGGTCCCTCTGACAGAGCAAAGCCATCAAGAACCAATGTGTGCTTATTCAAGAGGAGCACCACGGGCACTGAGGGCCAGCAGCCTCCTACCCAGCCCTTGGCTCCCCTGGGAAAGACTCTTTGGAGACAGAAGCCTTCTGATTTTCCCAAACTCCCCTGTGATGGGAAGTGTCAGCCCAGACCTGGGAAAAACAGGGAGCACTGAGTGTGTGAGGAGAGATTTAAATCCTACAGCAGGACTGAGCGTGTGGAACCACATCAGCCACACAGGAAAAGCTCCATTTATAATCATAAAGTACAAACCAGCAACATCAGAAAGTACAAAACAGCAACATCAGAAGTCACAGGTCATGGCCAAGGTACAGAACAGGGACCCACAGCACACACACACTGAGGAAACTCCTCCAGGGAATAAAACAACCACCTTCAAACACTGACACAAGGAAGGCAACAGTCCAACACCCAATATCAGCACAGCCTGTGGCAATGCATCAATCCCAGCTTGGAATGGCCCAAAACACCAACAGGGATTTGGCTTGGATCTCCTCAGGTGTTCCCAGGTCGAGCCTTGGTTTCAAACCCATGCACTGGGAAGCTGGAGCTAATGCAGGAGGGCTCTGCACTCCTTGATGCCTCTGGAATCATGCTGGGCTTGGATGAAGGAATGATGCTTTGCCACTCAGCACACAGCTGCTCATGAGGGGTGCTCCATTCTCCTCAGCAAACAGCTGGCTCTTAATCAGCGTGCTTTAAAATTAAATTTAAAATTAACAAATTGTAATTAATGGGAGGTGGGCCCATTAGGGGACACAAACACGCCCCAGTTTTGGCACTGAAGCCTGAGTCCTGCTCTGCCAGCCCCCTGCCAGCCCTGCTCCAGCTGTGCTGTGTTCAGTGTGCTGACACCTCATGGCCAAGCCAGAAACTCCGATAAGACACCGTTTCCCAGGACATCACCCACACATCCTCCATCTGCTCCAAGGCATGAAAACAGGCTCGTTTATCCACAAGTTTGTCATGAGCAGAACTGAACACACCGAAGACAGGAAAGAAAACCAGTCCAGAAGGGCTTGAAGCTCTCGGATCACAAACATTGGGCGCACCAGGGGCTGTTATCGGGAGCTGTGGTGCTCTGAGTGTCCCTGGTGCTGGAGGATGGTTCTAACACACTTTTCCAACAGCATGGTCCCCTTGCTGAGCCATCCATGGCAAACACTGCGGTCTCAGGCCCGTGGGGAGCGTCCGTGTTGGGGTTACCCCGCTCTCCCCTCCTCTGCGGGGGTCTCCCAGGGGCAGATCAGCTCCTTTGCAGAGTCCTTCCGAGCTCGGTGGTGCCTGTCCTCTCCCCGCCCAGAGCCCCCAGGGTGGGCTCGGCTCTCCGAAGGCATTTTGACTTGGAAGAAGCTGCGTTGGGAAACAGAAACTCATCACACACACGGCGCTTTCTGATGTGCTCCAAAGCGGCGAGCGCCCTCGGCTTTGAGATTTCCACTGTTCCAGCCCCAAATCCCAAGGCAAAACTCCCGGGCAGGAGCCCAGGGAGAGTGCGGACGGAGGGAATGTGTGCTGGCACCCCTTTGAAGCTGCAATGCCGTGTGACAGCGCTCCGGAGCGCGGAGCCAGGTAGAGCAGGAGCCCTCAGGTTCGCGCTTCGGAATTTATAATGTGGGCTCATCCACTCGGCCAGCAGCAGAGGTGGGTTAAATGAGACCAGGGACATGCTGCTCCTGGTGAGGGACATGGCCAGGGGTTGGTTCCTGCAGGGGAAGCTTTTCCAGGCAAAAATTCCCCACCTCCGTCCTGGAACAACAAACACTTAGTGACTCCCATCAAGATTTGCCCTCCCTTGTCGCTTTTGGTTCTCCTCTGACATGAAATCACTAGACCAAACCCGACTCAGTGCTCAAGAACGCTGAGGTTTTCCAAATTTAGGGGTTAAAAGTAAAACCTGGGGGTTTGCACCCTGAACGTGAGGTGTGAGAATAGCAGAGGCACCGCCAGCATGGGCTCCCGGCCTGTCCCCATCGAAAAACTGCAGGAATGGAGACGGGAAAGAGACACCGGCGTTTGGGGAAAAGGTGACTGTCAGACGGGTTCCCAGGGACCTCTCCCGCCGGCCAGTGTCCAGGGTGGGTGTCCAGGTGTCGGTGCTCACCTGCTGACCGTCCTGCTGTCGGGCCGCCGCTCCCGCCCGCCCAGCGGCTGCACCTTGCCGTGAGGCACGGCCGGGCAGCGCGGCCGCAGCGCGCCCAGCCCGCCCGGGGCCCGGCAGCCCCGCCGGAGGAAGCGGCCCCACGAGCGGGATCTCCGGCCTCCGGACGGGCCGGGGCCCGCCTGGGTGCCCGCGGCGCTGCCCAGGGCCGGGCTGATGGGCGAGGGGCAGGCGGTGCCGGGGGACAGGGCTGCGGGCCCGGGGGCCGCGGGAGGCAGGGCCCGGGGGGCGGCTGAGGGCGATGCCGGCGTGCTGCGGCCAGCGGAGCAGGAGGCGAGCTGGCCTGGCTGTGGGGAGGAAAAGGAGAGAGGCTCGGTCAGGTCTGGGGCTGACTCTCAGGGCTCCCCAGGCTTCTTGGGGAGGAGAATCCCTCTCCTTCTTTGGTGCTGCCAGGAGAGAAGGGCTCAGCGGGGAGGCAGCTACAGCCACCCCGGCCCAGCCTGTGCCTGTCCCCCTGTCCTGCAGCTCTGTCCCCTTCCCTGCCCTCCCCTGCCGGAGCACTGAGGTGTCACAGCTTGCCCGGGGGTCATTGCTGCCACAGCCCCAGCGGGTGCTGACAGATCCAGCCCCACACCCGCCGGGATGCTGGAGGAGACAGCAGCTTGTCTCATTCCTCACAACGATTAGCTCCAGGCACGGAGGAGGCTGTCATCCCGGGAATGTGATCTTGGTTATGAACAGCACAATGTCAAACCCACGGCACCAGGCAGGGCCGGGACAGACCCCGAGCCCCAGCCCTGATGGCTCAAAGTACCACCAGCCTCATACTGGAGCCCCCAGTGCCCCTGGGGAGGCTCCAGCACAGCTCAGTCAGCCCGCTGGACAAGCCCAAGCACACACTGGACAGGACAAGGACAGCACATGCTGCATGCCAGCTCCCCTCCCATTTCTCAAGGATTTACTCCCAGCAGAAATGAAAAGCAGCTCAAGTGTCCAAGGAGAGGAGCTTAGAGCAGAAGAACACACAGGACATGTACACACACGTGCAGAGATGGCTCAGAGAAGGATGAACACATTGAGACACGACAGAGAAGGACGAACTCGGTTCTTTTTCTGTTTTCTACATTTATTTTTATTAGACACATGAATGCATGGAAGCCATGGCCAAAAAAATGAAACAACACATGGAAGCAAACAATTTCTCGGCTGGCACAAAGTGAAGTTCAGCTTGTCCCAGGCAACTTTCCTCTTCGGGGGCTGAGCAGCAGAGGATGAGAAGCAGAAGGCTGGGCTGTGACAGCTCCATCAACCTGTGGCAGGGCAAAGACAGCTCCTGCCTGTGTGTGAAGGATGGCTGTTCATTCCACATGCACTAAATGGTGTTAAACAAGCACTGACTGGTGTTCCACACACAGTAACTGGTGTTCCAAAGCAGTAACTGGTGATATACAAGCAATGTCTGGTGATGCACATGCACTAACTGGTGATACACAAGCAATGACTGGTGTTCCACACACAGTAATTTGTGTTCCACGAGCAGTAACTGGTGTTCCACAAGCACAGTGACTCCTGAGCATGCAGCACGAACCCATGGCAGGGGAGCAGCGATGCCAAGCAGAAATGATAGAAAATCAGAGAAAGGAATGGATACAGAGAACGTAACAAGCAAAGCAGCAGACAAAATAGAAGTAGAATCAGAGGGACTGATGGGAACATACAGATTTGTTATTTATTATTTATACCCTGACTTGATCTTCCACATGTTACTACATACTGGCAATCCCAACGTGCTCAGTGCTCCATGTTACACAAACTCTGGAGAGACTGTAGAGTTCATCACAGCCAAGTAGCTTTGGGCCAACCCTACCAGGTTCTGGAGTATCTTCCAGTGCTCTGATGTCAAAGTAAGCTGAGGGTGCTCAGCACCTGATGTAACAAAGCCCTGGGGTTTTAAGCAGAATTTTTTAAAAAAGGCAGCCTGAGCCTGCTCCCCTGTACAGCAATGCAGAATGTGCCCGTGCTTCCAGCAGGAGTGAGAACAGAGACTCAGCACAGACATCAGAGGGAAAATCTGGGGTAACTCCGTTTGAATTCCTCTAAGGAGGTTTGTCACTGATGGGGTAAGGAAGTAGGACAATCTCCCAGTCTCAGCCACAGGTGAAGGAGAGGAGTGACACCAGGTCAGTGTCCAGCCCTGATCCTGCCTCTGATGTCACACACAGGGAGGGCCAGAGTGGCTGTTGGAGCTGTTGGGGACACAGTGACATCCCGACTGTCCCCTGTTCACAGGGAGCTGCCCTGCAAGGACCCCAGGGCTCCAAGGGTCTGCATGCACCCCCCTATCCAAGGGCTCCTGCTCCCTGCCAGCTTTCTCCTTAAGCTTCCCCATCCCTGGAGGTGTTAGAGGCCAGGCTGAATGTGGCTCTGAGCACCCTGGGATAGTGGAAGGTGTCCCTGCCTGTGGCAGGGGGTGGGATGAGATGAGCTTTAAGGTCCTTTCCAATCCAAACCATTCTGGGATTCTATGATCTCCCATTTTCTATAAAACCCTACCAGTATTAAAAAGGGATGAACCGGAGAGAAGCAGCTTCCCAGACTTCAGTACTTCTACCCAGTTCCTCTGCTTCCCCAACATTTTAATAAACAAGGAAGCTTTTCTTCCCCTTCAGTTCCCTTGACTGAGCTTTGCAGGAATCTTCACACTTCTGGTAATCCTTGGCCTGGTCCAGGCATGCTGGGCTTTTCCAGGAAGGCCTGGAATCTCCCTGAGCTCTTTAGCACTAATGTAGTATTTTAGCTTGCCTCATTCTACAGAGCAAAAGAGACAGAGCAAATGAAAATACTACTTAAAGTTTAAATCAACTCTTAACACCTCTACCCTGCTCTCCCTTGCCTCTGGGCTACAAGCCAGTGACAACTGTAGCTACCTCCTGCTGGATTTTTAACAACAGAAAATAGAAAAGCAGGAAAAAGACAAGACAAGAAGTGGGAAGGATTGGGTAAAATCTCTCTTGGCCTCGTGCAGGCTCTGGGAAGGGGCAGCTCTCTGCACCTGCACGCCCAGCTCACGGCACAGGAGTCACGGGGAGAGCAGAGCAGAGCTTCCTGCTGATCATCTCCAGCGTGCCAGGGGATGTGGGAGTGTCATTCAAACTCAGAAGGTCAGCTAAACCTTCAGAAATGCTCCTGCTACTGTTCCCACAAGCAGCTCTTCTGCCTGCGGCCCGTGGTGCTGGCTGGAGGTGCAGGACTCTTGGAGTGGGGGCTGTGCTCCTCTCAGGGGGTGCCAGACGCACCCCTTGGGAGGGTGCACGGTCCCCCGAGGGGATGGGGGCCAGCAGGGACACTCGGGGCTGGGTCACCTCGCCCTGCTCCCCGCGGGGTCATTCCCCTCTGTGCCAAGGGAGGCTCGTCTGAGCCCGGAGCGCTGCGGCACAGCTTCACCCTGCCTTGTGCCACCCGCTCCTGGAGCGGCGGGGAGAGGCAGGCGGGCTGTGCAGCCTCCCGGGGGATGTGCGGCAGCAGAAGGCATCTCATCTCCCCTGCGAGGTGTGCGGCTGCTGCATCCCGAGCCCGGCACAGCCCCAGCTGCTCTCCAGGAGCCATGACAACGTGCGGGCAGCTGGCGGAGGGACAGCCGGCCTGCCAAACCTAAAGCAGCACTGACACCTTCAGGAGAGGGGAGGCGAAGCTCAGCACCAGCCTCGCCTTGTCTTTTCCCTGCTGCGGGGCTCAGAGCCTACTTGGGAGGAGCTTCCTTCTGGGGCTGGTTCCTGCGATCCAGCTTGCTCATGACCTGCGTGATGTCCACGGTGTTGGCGGCTTCTTTGGCTTTGGCCTCTTCCTCCTGCTGCCTCAGGATGATGGGGCTGGGGCTGGAGCGGAGGTGGCGGCGCCCGAACAAACCCGTGCTGGGCAGAGAGAAGGGAAGGAGAGGGGGTCAGTGAGGAGAAGGGCACCAAAACCTCCATCCCAGGAAGCAAAGTCACCCAGGAGGACAAGCTCGGACACAGAGATGGCCAAAGGAGTGCAAAATGCTTTAAACAGCGCTGGGTGACTCAGTGTCACACACAAGCTACAGAACTGCTAGAAATATAAAAGTCCTGCTCCTGAGGGACTCCAGGGCCCACCCACATCACTCCTTTGTTGTGTTTGCACATAACTCACACTCAGTGTGAAGCCAAACAACTCCCACCCGTGGAATTTTCTCCAGAGCCAAAGGAAGATCAAGGCAGGGAGCAGTATCGGTGTTTCTGGTGTCTGTGATGTCCCCAAAAAATACCCAATACCTGCTTCAGCAAAGCACCTTCCCCAGCAGTGGGAACAGGTGCCAACCCACCTCTGGATGAGGTACCAGCTCCAGGTTAATGGGATGCCGAGGTTTGAGGGATCCAGAACAAGCACTGACAAACACCAAGGCAGGATCACTGGGATCAGCCAGCATCTACCAGTGACCTTGTGATGTGTGGCTCAGGGAAAAACTGACCAAACCCCAGGCCAGTCAGCAGCAGGGCTTTTTCCAGACTTGAAACAGGCTTTAGATGAAAGAACAGTGTGAAAGCCCACGATTCCTCTTTCTTGCCTGCTGAGTTGATGGGTGGAAGTGGAACAGAGAAAGAAACACCACCCCCAGTCTAGCACTGCACACTCGGCTTTAGGAGCAGCTGCAGTTTAAATGGCCTACTGCTGTTACTGCATAACCTTCCTTTTCCTGGGAAAAAGTCATTTCCAAGGCCATCCACCTTGTGCCAGCTGTCACTCACAGGGTGCTGCTTGCTCCTACTTGCCTGTCACCTTCCCTTGCACCAGGGGTGAGCAGCTTTGTCCAGGCAGAGCTGAGCAGATCCCGTGGATTATCCCAAACCTTGGGTCTGTCTCTGCTCTGGCAGCCAGCGTTTCAGGGGCAGTTGTTTTCCCATGCCCAGGACACCAGAACGCTCTCTTTTCCAGGAAAGGAGCCATGATTTAGTTCAACAATCACAACCTTTCTCAGCAGACCCACCAGAGAAGGCAGCTGAGAAATCAGCAGCTCCATTCCAACTGTTCACAAGCCACTTCCAAAGGGCTCATGAATAAACAGCACCATCAGTCTCAAAGCAAAGCATCTTCTCAGTGCAAAATTTTATTTAATTAAGAGAACATCTAAATCACAGTAATTTTGCTGCAACTTGGGCTTTTTCTACCCTTGCTACAACAAGAAAAACAAACCCCACAATTACAGCCAGTTTCACTTGCCTTTTTTTGACACCCTCTTGTGGCACAACAGCCTTGGCCAGCATTTCCTTGTATATTGGAGACTTTAAATAGCGGCCATAGGAGTCCTACTAGGAGAAAAAAGAGAAGCTGGTAGTTATGGGCTGCAAACACCCTTATTAAAATCACCACCAAATACAGCTGCTCAGGAGCCAGGGAGGCTGGGAACTGGATAATCTCCCCCAGCAGCCCAAGGGACTTTGCATCTTTCAGGCAAATGTAGCTATTTAAACCAATATCCTTTCATCTTGCTGTAAAATTCCCAGGATTTTCCATCTCACAATAAAGCCTCACAGGTAAGACACAGATCAAAAGATCTGAATGAAGCTTAGCCTGGGCCAGCAGGGTCTCAGAGTCACTGCAAGGTGAGGAGCTTGTGTTCCAGGAGCCAAACTTTCCATCAACAGGTGAAAATCAGCCTGGTTCTGCTGCTTTCAGTGCATGAGCTGGTGCCCAAGCTGGAATTGAAAAGCAGGACTTGCAGCAGCCACCTGACCCCCACCACCTTGGGGACAGGCTGCCTTAGAGGGAAGAAGCAGCAGCAAAACACAAATGCCTGAAGCAGCACTTGCTTAACTCAGCAAATTTGAGGGATTTTCAAACAAAGGCCCCTTGAAAGGGACAGCTGATAGCACACAAAGGCACTGAAAGGCCCGGAGGGCTGGAATCCCCCTCAGGCTCTGGTAACAAATAACAAACCTTTTTCATCAGCATGTAAATGTGGGTCTGAGCAGCATCTAGAACATAACGATGAGGGTGCTCCAGGCCTTTGACTGTGATGCCCATTGTTTTGCCATCGATGTTAATCCAGCGCCTTGCTCCTGGAGCCAGGAAAAGCCTGCCAGGAGGAGGAATCAACAGTGCCATTAGCAGCTGGAGAATTCACAGATTCCTGCCTATGCATGAAAGGAAAAGTCCCTTCAGCTCCCTGCTGCAATTTGCTGTCCTGATCTTGGGCAATCAATGTGCTTTTCATCAGAAACGTGCACTCACTTCCTCTTGCACATAATACAAGCCAAATTTTAGCTCACTGGAAGCAAAAAGCCTCTCCCCACTTGTGGCAGCCTCAAGAACTTTGCTGTTCCACACCAATATTTAAATTACATCCTAAGAATTAAATGTAACAGAGAACAGAGAGGAAAAGTGTATATATATATATATATAAACCTCACTTCTACTTTCATCTCCAAAAGCTCCTTTCCTATGTGGGGACAAAAGACAGCCACATCTGATAACAGCCTACATGTAAAAATCTTAGGAATAAATCATTTGGAGAATGAGAACCTGTGGAAGGTGATGGGACTCATGCACAAAGAGTTTAAGAGTGGAAAATCTTCACACTCACTTGTAGATTTCTTCTGCTTTTTCTTTGACCTTGGATTGGTCTCCATACTTGAGATCCTCACAGGCTTCCCAGAAACCCAGATTCTCTCCTGCATGACAAGGACACAATCAGCAGAGAGTGAGACTGAGGAGAACACAATCCCATTTATTAACTCCTGGATTTGTTTGGCACAATTTGTTGGCCCCAAACTGGTCTCTCCAATTCTTCAGTGACTGCAAGAGGAAAGCAGCTTTCCCCTGTTTTCCCACTGACACCTCTAAGAACTTGTGAGCTCAGCCAGTTCCAGCTTCTCTGGGAGCAGTCACAGAATCATGGAATGTTTTGGGGTGGAAGGGACCTGAAAGTCCATCTCATTCCCATGGCAGGGACACCTTCCAAGCCCTGTGTGATGTGGCCTTGGACACCTCCAGGGATCCAGGGGCAGCCACAGCTCCTCTGTACACCCTGTGCCAGGGCCTGCCCACCCTCACAGGGAACAATTCCTTCCTAAAACGCCATCCAAACCCTCCCAGCCGATCCCCCGGGGGGGACAGCCCGGGCTGTACCGTGTGTCCCGTGCCACTAGATGGTACCGCCTGCCCTGGCTGCACAGCCTGCAGCAGCCTTGTGCCACTGCCACCTCGGCCTGGGCACAAAGGCACGGAGCCACTGCCCACCCACCGCTGAACTCCTTCTTCAGGAAGAGCTGGAAGTTCTGGCGGCCTTTGGGGTCCCGGATCAGCTCGCTGAAGTTGAAGGCCCATCGCTCCACGCGCATCCTGGTGGGCACCTCTACCCTGCACGGGGAGAAAACAAGCAGCACCGCTGCTTTCTCTAATTAGCAGATTAATTAAAACCAAAATGCCCTTTGCTGCAATGCCAAGGGACTTCTCAGCATTCTCTTGTTTTCCAGAGTGGTGTAATGAGCTCCTGAAGTCAGCCCACTAAGTAAGTTGTAATTAAACAACTCGGGCCGTAGCGGGATGAGGATTTAACTGGGATTTATGCAGCTCTCACAGTGACAGCCCAGCCTTGCCCTGAGGTTTGACTCAGTCCCATCCTGGAGGAGGCACTGGTTGCTGCCCAGAGCTTTGCTTCTCACGAAGGCATCCAGTGCAGGCATCCCCTGGGGATGTCTAACGGGGTGCAATCAGTCCATAACAGGATTGCTGCTCTCAGAACCACTGAGATGTTGGATGCTCCAAGCCCCGAGATGCCACTGTGTAATTAGCAAATCCTATCCAAAGGGAAAACCAAGGGAGGCCTCAGAGAAGGGTTGGACCACACATCCCTGTGTGCTTCTCCTGAGGAGTGAGCAAATACCCAGGGGAGCAGCTGAACCCTGAACTGCTTCTGTTCATTCCTGTGCTAGTGAAGGTGAGCTTCACTCATCCTAGGGGAGGATTAGACCCACTCAGCAAGGGCTGAGTGCACACTCCCATCATCAGCTCAGGAATTTCTGTGATGCTAAGGAAGGCTCCACTTGAAGAAGGCAGTGCTGAAAGTTCAGCATGGAGTACTCCCAATTTCAAAAAAGGTTTGAAAGGAAACGCTTCTCTGCTCCTGATCAGAGATCAGATACCACAAGGAAAATCAGTGGTTCCCTTTCCTGATTTCTATCAGTATAAAGGTCACTGTAAACCACAGGCTGGCAAAACAACAGAAATACATACAGCTTTGCATTGAGATCCCAAAACTCAGGGTCATCTGATATCCAAGGGTTGCTGGGGAGACATCCAGACAGGATTGGATCATTGGAGAGGAACTGCTCAGAGTACTTCACAACCCTGCAGCAAATCCAAAATCAAAACATGAATTTGGAAGCTGGAATTACAGCCAGCACCATCATAGCCAAATAACAGATTCCAGATATCCTCAGAGGTGCAGGACTCTCAGCACAGGGATCTGGAACATGGCCCCTGCTTTCCTAGATTCATTAGCTCAGTTAATCTTTTCCATTTCCCAACAGAAGTCTCCTGGTTGTCTTTCAAAGCAGTGAATTTGTCAATTCAAACACAAGGAGATACAAGACCCTCTTCCATCACCTCTTTTTGCCTTTTCATTTTAAGGAAGGGGGACTAAGCCCCCAGACAGTTCCTGTCTCCTGTTCTCAGCTGGCCAGGGCCTGATCCTGCACTGTTCCGGGAGGAAAGTGTCAGGGAAAGGAACACAAGGCTTGTGTTCTCTCAGGTGGGTTCTCTGCAGCCTTCCCAGGAGCCATGAGAGAACTCAGGGAGCTCTGGAAAAGTGAGGGAATGCTGAGGGCTCATCCCAGCTTCTCCCTTCCTCCATCACCTACCACAGGGCTCATTCCTCTGCAAGTGGCTCTGAGGGCTTGGCACACAGCAGAACTGTCTCCCTCCCAGCAGGAACCAGACAAACACTTCTCCTACCTTCTAACTTGGCCAGACTTCTAATTACAACCGATTTCACTAATGTCCTGGAATTTTAGCTCCCGCCTCCCTTTTTAATTCTTAAAAAAAAACCAAAAAAAACCCAAAACCCCTCTGGTTTCTGCGTTTAAAATTCCTTCCAGGCCAAAATGCTTTCATGTGCTCAGAGCTTGGAGTGCAGTGTCCAGGGGCTCATTGCTAACAGGCCCTTTGGCCCAGATCCTGCAGTCAGACCATGCCAGAGCAAACCACAGTGCTGGCACACAGCTGCTCCATCCTGCCTTCCCACTGGGAATGCCAAGGCATCCAGCACCTGCACCAGGCACTCCAGCCCGTATATTCTGATCAAGCAGATCTAAACCTGTCAGCTCAGGTAGCACTGCTGTGTGCTCTTGAAGTGCTTTGCAGCTTCTCCTAAATCACAGCCATGCTCTGAAGTATGCACAATGCCCAGTCACTGCTCATATCCTCATTAATAATAATTTGATTTGGACCCAACCCTGCAGCTGACACAGAGTTCCAAAGTTCCTGAGATTTTTGATCTAAGTGATAGACATTATCCCACCAGAACTAATGAGAGAAAAGCCCCACTGCTGAACAGTTAGGCACCACAAAATTCCTGGAGAGTAGCCAGGTGTCCCCAGCTCCAGCTCACAGTTTGGAGAATTGAGGCAGCAGAGTTTTAAGTGACCTGGGAGTCAGTGACAGACGAACTGAGCAGAGCTGCTGGTGCCCTGCAAGTTGTGGCTCTCAGAAGATTCTCTCTTCCACCCATTCCATTCATCCAAGACTGTCTTCTCCAGGGAACTGGCCTGAGCACCTTGTTTATCTCAGCTGTGATAGGAATCTCTGGTGGCAATGACAGTGTGAAGCAGGCAGGTGCTCTGGGCTGCACCTCAAGGTGCCTGGTCAGCACCGGAGGTTCCAGACAGAAATGCCTCTGGCAAACACACCAGTGCCTAATGCCAGGGCTGGATGCTTCATCAAGAACCTGATCAGGAAACACTCCCACTGGGAAGGGAAATTGCTAATTAATTGCTTGGGTGTTCATGGAGGGGCTGTTTCCCTCTGCAGTACAGAATAACCAGAGGTGAGCATCACCGTGGGGCAGGGACACTCATGGGGGTAAATCCAGCCCAGGGTGGGGACCAGGGACAGGAGGGTCACTCTGTCCTGCTGGTTGCTCCTCCTGAAGGACAGACACACTGCTGGATCCTCCCCTGGCTGCAGGGGACCAGGCATCACAGATGTCAGCATCTCCTGATTTCAGTGGGATTCTCAGCCCAGAGGCTGGTGCTGCTCTGCAGCAAAGCCCCCAGAGAGCCTCTTCATCCTGCCTGGGACTCTGATCCCTCCTCAGCCTCGTGCCTCCTGGCCCAGACAGCACTGGGCCACCACATGGATTCCCTGGCTGAGTCACCAGCTGCCACAGCAGACAGCTTCATCAGCTCATTAGGAGATAAGCACTGAAGACTAATTAATGTGTGGACAGAAGGAAATCAGGACTTACCCTCCAAGAGAGACAGAAGATTTCACTCTGGTCTTCATGATGGCCTGCTGATAGTACATGATCTGAGGGGATCAGACACGACCACGGTTAGGAGCACGGAGGTTTGAAGATAAGGCCTATCTAAACCTCAAACAGGTTCTCTCCCAGGTAGTGGGGCTAATTACAGCAGAGACTGCTTCTTCCCTAATTACTGGATGTCCAAGGAACCAGAGAATCCCTGAATTGTCTCAGTAAAATGTCTGTTTTCACTGAGCTTACTGCAAACATCAGAAGCACACTTTGCAATGTGCAAGTAATTAAAAAGCACTCCCCATGTTATATAGAAATTGAATAATAGCTACCATCCTCAGCACCTACAAATGCTCTGGATGATTTAGCATGTAATTATCATTGATTCTTGGCTGTCTCTGTGCTGGCGCCACTGTGATTTCCCCACCACTAATTTTGATCTATTGGATTTCAGCCCTGGTGTCTGTCCTTGCCTGAGCCTTCCCGTCACTGGGAGAGCTGCTGGCTGCCTGCAGTGGGGGGGAATGTCCTGAAATTACATTGATAAAAGCTCCATGAGGCAGGGATTCTGCTTTTCAGAGTGCCCAGCCCCTGCACAGAGGGCTCTGAGCCACACTGGTGTAAGCAACTCATATAGGATGAACACTGAGAAGTGAGGGAAGCACCACTTACCTCTCTCCTATAGAATTCCATAGTATTTTTCTGTAATAAATATAAAAAAAAATCATTAAATTGGGATAGGTGCTTACATTTGCTTTTTTTTTTTTTTAAGACACGGAAACACCGTTGCAGGGCTGCCGTTGTGCAGCGCTTTCCAATTAATCCTGATTACAATTAAAATCAAACACAGCAGCTGAGCTAATCAGGGTATCATCAAAGCTAAGAGCATCCCCACATGGTAAATTGTCCCATTAGCTGTATTTACTGTTTAGCATTGCTTCTCCCATCACAGGCTGCCTGTATGCCTTCAATTAAGGGGTTATTCTAATGGAGCTAAAATAGATTCATTTAGGAGACACAGATTAGATCATTCAATATTAGCTAAAGGAGACAGGAACCAACACATTGCAAAATATAAACACCACAATTAAAAGCCTCAGAAGCAGTATCTGCTGTGCAAAGGGTGTTTACGTTGTGATTTGAATAACTCAGACTATGTTACGTGTCATCCACAAATGAGCAGGCAATCGAAGGCAAGAAATTAACTGCAGGGTGTTTATTCACACAGCTTCCTTTGAAGCACAGTTACTTTGTGTGGAATAAACTGGAGAAGGGAGAAGGAAAGACAGGCTAAGTCAGGGATGCTCCCAGCAAGCCTTTAAAAGCTCAGGCAGGGTTTCAGTTCCTCAGCTCCCGTTTCAGTCAAGACCTGCATCCTAAAATGGTCCTGTCAAATGAACCCTGTGGCAGGCAGAGTTCACTCTGCAGAGTGCCTTGGTGAAGTGCAGTTTGTGAGAGATGAGGGATGGAGATTCTGGTACTGAATGCCACAGGCAGCTCTGCTCTCTCCTCACCTCCCCAGAGACCCAAAAGTGCCCCTTTTGGGACTGGCAAGATGCTCTCCCAGGGTGAGGAGACCACTGTGGGGACACTGATCTGCTTTTGCACTTTAACCAGCGTCACCAGGCCTGCTCAGGAGGGAGAATCTCTTCTCCACATGGCAGAAAAACAAGCACATTTTGCTGACACTTGGTTCTGAGAGGCCCACTCACCATTTCAGCAGCAGGAGCCAGAAATGCAGCAGATGAGCCCAATCCCTACAGCACCACCACAGAGCCAGCCCTGACCCTGACCCAGACCCAGCCTGGAACCAAAAAAAAACCCTCACAGTGGTATTGTGAGGGGAGGAAGCTTTTCCTGCTGGCAATGCCATGACCAGCTGAGTGGGCAGCACAGAACATCCCAGCAGGAACAAACAGGGCAGCAAAAACCAGCAGTGATGCTGTGCTGGCCCTGTGTGAGAGGGGGAAAGGACTGACACACCAGGGGAGAGAAAATGCTCTAGGACAGCAGGATCATTGCTCCCAGGGCTGTACAACCTCCCCTGCTGATTCACAAGCTCTTGGGACACCCTTATAGATGATGGAGGAACTGAGGAACAGCTTTTCACCCTTTTCTGCTCTTAGCTGCATCCCTGATTCCAGGCCACTTTCCATACAGACACCATTTCTTCCCCTCATTTCTACAGTGCCATTGTTTCAGACAGACTGCAGAAATGGGAGGGAAAAATCACCTGCTTGCACAGAGAAATTTATTGTATTTACAGTCCTAAAGTGTGCTGTTTAGAGACCTGTGTTTCTGCTCCAGGCCAGCTGCCTCCTGCACAACAGGAACTCACTGTCTCCTTGGGGAATCTGAGATATAAACCAGATAAACCTCATCAGATTTACAAGTGCCAGCCAAAGGGTTCCATTTGATGGAACTTGTGGCTAGAGCATTGATTTCAATACGTTAAAATCATTTTAAAAAAACCTATTTTCTTCCACTTTTTTTCTCAACTGGGCCTGGTGCAGTGGGGAAGGAGAAGTGGGTGCTGGCACAGTGGCTTGAAGGCAGCTCATGTGGCAGGAAAGTGGTGTTATCTTCTAGAGGGGTCTGAGAGGCTGCCAGCACACCACACACACGAGACAAACAGCTGTGGGAAAGAGAAAGAGAACACAGTGAGTGAAATGTTATATAGAGACAAAAAAGCATCAATTAAAATGCCATCACAACAGACAAATTATATGTGGGTGAAGAAAAATCCACAAACAAGGAGAGATTTTATATTTTTACACACCCCCCACAGCAAGGATCCCCTCCTGCCACAGTCTGTGTGGAGGTCAGTGTGGTGGGCAGCTGCCCCCGGAAAAACAAGGGGGGTTTTTCTGGGGTCTTGGTGCTCCACGTGGGATGGGAATTTGTCAAGGCTCCCCCAGAGAAGGGGCTGAGCATCTCTGAGCATGAACTGAACTGCAGCCAAATCCAAGGGGAGCCCACTGCTGAACACCCTGGGAGGCAGCAGGTGCTGGCTGTGCTCAGCCCCTTCCAGTTCCCCAGTCAGCAGTAACTGGGAAGAATCTCAGCTATTTCACCCCAGAGCTGCTCACCATTTCATTTCCCTTTCTCCCACAGTGCCCCCACATCCAGTTCCCAGTTCAGTGCTGCTGCAAGTGGCCCTGAGCACCCTCCATGTCCCTCTGAGCACTGCCAGCTGTCCCCAGCAGCCAGCCACCCTTGCCCCCACTATGACTGCAGCAGTGCAAAGTGCCCTGCACCACCCACCCACTCTGCCTCATTTGGAAAGAAATCATATTTGGAACAAAAGAGTCGTTTCTCATAATGAGATTAATTTTGCAATGCCCTTAACGAGTGACTTATCGCAATTACTGCGGATCAGCTCCCCAGCCCTGCGGGCTTCAAATCAAGATGGCAATTAGTGAAAGGTCTCAGTCTGTCTCAGGCGAGTGCCACAAGCTGTTCCACATCCTCTGACACCCCCGAGACACCCCGTGGCACTGGGACACCCTGCCTGCCCTGGTCACACCCCACTGCCACCAGCTCTGTGCTCCCTGGGCACTGGGGCTGCAGAGCCAGCCAGGACCTGCTCCAGAGCTGATCCACATGGCTGAGGCCACCAGCTCCTACAGGAGCTGGGATATCTGCTAATTCCCAGCTACCTGTTTGCTCCTCTGCTCAGTGTGAGACTTCCTGACCACACTGGGGAGATGATGGTCATGGTGTTTTTGCCTGCCTGGCCACTGTTCCCTGTTTACAGAGCTCATAAACACCTGGAAACAGCTTTGGGTGGATGCCTGGAAGGAGCTGGGGGTGAAGAACAAGCACAAGGCTGTGCAGAGCTTGTTTGGGACCAGGACACTGCAGATCCCACCCTCACTCTGCCTCGAGTGCTCCATGGCAGGCTGAGGCTGTGCAGGGAATTGGACACTGAGCACGGGGCAGAACCAGCCCAGCCTCCCTCCAGAGCTCTGGGCAAGCAAGACCTGCCTCTCCAAGCCTGCAAAGTGCACCCCAGCACACACCCCAACATCCCTGCTCAGTGCAGAGCCAGCCTTTTCCTACACCCAGCCAGCTGAGAGCCTGCAGAGGCAAATCCTGACTCTGGGATTAGATCATCTCAACACTCATCTCCACTGTGCTGGTGCATCCAGCCCTGTAGCTGGAAATCGAATCTGCCACAGTCCATGCACCCAGTTTTGTTCAAATGGCCATTTTTCCCCTTTGTTTATCTGACCCTGTGCTTTCCAAACTTGTGATGATGCAGCAGAACTTTATCAGGCAAACTGACAGGGACTTATGAAATTAAAGGCCAGCGATGGCTCATTGATCTGTGGCTGATTTGCTGCACACAACAAACCAGGGCATTTCATTCAGCAGCCCCTGAACCCAGCACACTGATTTTTGGGGGAGCTAAAGCACCCTTCAGAAAAGCTCTGGTTCCAGGAGGCAGAGGCTGTGCAGGTTCCTGCAGGCACTCACTGGTAATTCTCAAGGAGTGAGGTTTGATATGAGCCTGAAATCCAGGCAACAAAAAGCTAAAGCATCCCTTAATTAGCAGTTCAATGGGTGGCTATTTCTGCCTGACTCCTCCTGCCCATCCACAACCCCTAACTCATTATAACCAGGAGGGATGCCCATGGATCAGTTATAAAGGTCCCCTTCAAAGGAGTTTGAGCACTTGTTTATCCCCAGAGGACTCTATCTGTGAGGGAGGGAGCAGCCCACCAAAGGGTCTGAGCAAGAGGAGAGATGTTCATGCTAATGTCAGCTTCAAAGAAATCAGAAATTCATTCTTTTCTTTCCTTTCTCCACTGCCAAGATAAAAACCCCAATTATTTGTGCAACAAAGTGAAGGTGGATTGAGCAGGAACAGGGACACAAAATCATTGCTTGGCCCATTCTTTCTGCTCACCAAAGGCTGCTGAGCCACAGGTGTTGGTGAGAGCAGCCTGCAGAGGACAAAAATAAAGCTGCCAGTCTAAAGGTGGCTCCATGAGAGCTCTTGGCTCTCTCATGTATTCTCAATCACTCATTCAAAAGCAAAAGGAGGAGCAAGGAGAACCTTCCCTTTTCATCTCAGACCCCAGCTTAAAGGAGAAGGGCAGGGAAGTCACCCCACAGCTGGTGTCCTTTGGCTTCTGCCCTCCTTGGAGCCTCCCCTGATGTGGGGAACTGACCACATCTCTCATGGCCAAGGTGAAACTGGGCAGAGATCCCTCAGCTTCCCTCCCCTGTGCTACCACACAGCTGGTAGATGGATACAGCTCTTCAGACCATTTGCAAACCTAAAATCCCTTCCATGTCAGCTGTAAAACTGTGGGCGAGAAGTTGGCTCACTCCTCTTTCTATCCTTCTCCCTTACTGCTACTCCTTTACTTCTAAAAAAGAAAAAAAATGGCTTTCAGCAGCTGCTACTTACAGCAAGAAAAAAAAAATAAAATACACCCCAACCCTACACTTTGCTCCTTTTCAGTCTCTATAGCAACAGAACACAGCTGGCCAAAGCAATTATCCTGCCTCTGGCTGCTGAGATGTTTAAAGGCTGTTACAAAAATGGGAAGTTGTGGGAATACTGTGAGTGTGACAGCAGCAACATTTGCATTGAATTGCTGAGACATGCTTTGACTTTGCTTCCAAATGAACACCTTTAAGGGCACAAAGAATCATCTCAGAGGGCTGATGGGGAAAGGGAACAGCAGCTCCAGCTCCTCATCCACTGACTGGATCTGTGTGATTTCAGACCCCAAACCAGCTCACCCAGTTACAGCCCTCGTGGTCCCAGTTCACTGATTCTGTTTCTTTACAATATGCATTTTTTGGCAACATTTTGTACCTCCTATCCACCACACCAACTTCTCCATCTTCTTACCACACATCTTAATTACCCTTTGGGAGGTATTCTGTAATTTTATTTTAAACCTGGATCTTTGCACTGACCCTTTACACCCCACAACCCCACAAAGTTCATTCAGCACTAATAAAAAGGCAGCAAGGAGCACCTGGAGATAGAAATTCCTTAATTCAGTTTCACCAGCAAAGAAAACATATCCTGCAGCCAAGCACTCACTAACTGGTGTGGCAAGAAAGCTGACAAAGTCTTTTCAAGCCAGAAGAAGCTGCCACAGCCTATTTTGAGGGCCTCACCTCCCGGGTGAGAGAGCTTCAACCTCTGGCCTGTTCAGCTGTTAGAGCTGAGCTGACACACCCAGCCTACAGTGCCCAAAAAATGACAACCCCAGGGATATTCTCTGGGTCCTCCCAGACAAATTCAGTAGGTGTGTAAAAAAAAAACAACAACCCTGTCTCACCTGGTTTACCTTATTTTCATTGGGATCTGTGACACGGTCTAACCCGTACTCGAGGACGTCCAGCATGCCCGGCTGTGGTGAACAAGAAACAACAAAGCTCTGAAACTCATTTGGTTTAAAGGCTGTGGATCGCACAAATTCAGGAGGAGACCCCCCAAGCCTCCACTGCCAGCAGATCCCAGCCAGCAGTGCCTTGGGAACCCCCAGATTTGGGAAGGCCCCTCTTCAAGCACAGGTGCTGCAGCCAGACCTCTGTCCCTTGCACCTTTGAGGGCAACCAAGGAAAGGTGGTGGGGACTCAGGGCAGGCCTGGGCTGAGCCTTCCCTGGCACACAGCCCAGAGGCTGTGCCCTTTCCACATGGGAGCAGGGAGGGCAGCACCAAGTCACTGAAGTCACCCTGTCACCCTCTACTCACAGGAGTTCTGTTCACAAGCCAGTAGGCTCTCTCCTGGCAGTCCAGGGCGTACCTGTCCTCCTTCTTCCGCTCCTTCCCTGCCCTGCAAAGCCAAGAACAGGGGAATTCATGAATTTTGCCCTCCTAAAATCATGATAAGATGGGATGAGAAGTGGGGCACACCTCCAGCCTCCCAAGGGTCCCAGCTCCGATGCCGCCTCCTGACCACATCCTGCTTCAGCTAATTCTGGGCTGCAGATCATGTTCACATGGCCACACATGACTCTGGATTTTGAGAAATCATCATCTTCCTGAGCTGAGCTGGGAGCAGACACATCCCCTTTTGATTAGGCACACAGCCTTCTGGTAGCTTTCTGCTGACTTGCCCTGAGTCCTGCTTCTTCACGTCTGTTCCTGTCCTGTCCCCAGGCAGAATCCAAGGACTGCCACCCAGAGATACATCCTGGACATGTCTCACCCCTGTCTCTCAGAAAAGCAGGGGCATTTCTCAGAGAAACTACTTGGAAATGGTTCTGAGCAGTGTTCCCAGGCACCAAAACCCAAATCACCTCCACAATTAAACAGAAGAGGCACTAGCATGGTTTGGACTTGGACCAACTAATTCTTTCCCAGAAAAGTCCCAAGCACAATTTGGGACTTAGAATGGGGAAGGGAGCATTCCCAACAGTCTGTTTGCATTTGGCCTCCCTGCTGTGGTTAGCAGGGTGGGTGCTCTGCACCAGTCTGCCCCAGCAGCACCATCAAACTGCCTCAGACGAGTTTAATCTACTGGTTCAGACACAGGCTGGGTATCTAACTTTGAAACTGCATTTGGCATCTCTTAGCCCAAGTCTGACCTCAATTTACAAGAACAACAGTCTTGTGTTTAATGAGACAGTTATCTGATGAGCTGTACTCCCAGGACTTGGCTGCCATCCCAGGGAAGACAGAGGCTGCTGAGCAGCAGAGGCACTGCCTGCCCTGCCAGCAGGTAAAGGAAGGTAAGAGAAGATCTTTCCTACAGAAGTAGGAAAGATCCCAAAGGAGTAATCCCGTCTCACGTTCACCAACTTTCCTGGGAAGTGAAGGTTTCAGCTCCTAAAATCAAGTCATTTTAGCTGGGTGCCTAAAGTATGCACTTCAGTTTTCTCCAGAAGTCCCTGCTGGGAGAATTTGCTGCTTCTTGATTCACTCCCTTCAGCTGAGAGATGTGCAAGGAACCCCTGACCCAGACCAAAACCAGGCCCCAAGTCCTGTCCACAAATACTCATGGAGAACACAGAGCTAAATTAAGTTGCTTCTAATGAGGGCTTGCAGCATCAGAACCCAGCTTCTTCACAGAACCACATCAAGTGCAAAGCCTAAACCTCCCCTCCAAGCCATTTTAGAGCTGCAGTTGGTGTTTTTAAGGTGTCATTTAACTGTGCACCAAGACAGCCAAGCTCTGCTCCTCACACCCTCCCCAGTGATGCAAACAAGGGAATGCAAGTCAACTCACTTATACTGCTCCTTGGCCTGCATAATAACAAAATCCCACTTGTAGTTTATTTTTTGATTGAGCATGCTGTAATGTTCCTGGAATAAAAATAAAAAAGCAGTTAGTGTGAAAATTCTGACCAGGGCACTCCCATGCTGGGGTTTTCTTGACTCTCCATAGTTCAATGAGGCCAGGCTGGTGAATGAGCCAAGAAATCTGGATTGTTCTGAATGCAATTACAAGAATTGCAACAGTTCAAAAATATCATTGCAAGGAGAGCAATTACCCCTGCTAAAATTATAATTGACTTCACAGTAGTTTTCTGTACTGGTCGTTTTTTCACTTGCAAAATGCTGGCTTTTGACATTGCTGGGGTAACACCTCATGCAGTTGAAGAGGCGATTTTTTGCTGTGCTCCATTCATTAGCAACAAAAGGCTAAAGTTGTAGCAAATCAGGGTCTTGTAATGGAACAAGTGCAGTGTCTCCTCACCTTTTCATATTCTTCCAAAATCCCTTTCCTTTTAATGTTCTTCTTTGCTAGATAAATTGCTGTGGAGGTAGAAGCAAATTAGCAGTTATACTTAGACCAACACATCCAAGAATAATTACAAATTTACCCACATTAGAAACACAGGAGCCTTTGTGTGCTACAGTATCTTCCCAGGCATGAGCTCCAAGCTCACAAAAGCTCAGTGGAGAAGAAAGAACTCGGTGCTTTTGGTCTGACACTGGTGCCCAGGCTGGGAGCAGCCAGGCAGAACAGGCAGCGTGTGCCTTCTGCCAGCAGCCACCCTTCCCCTGGGAACTCAGCCAGGCTTCCATGGGTCAAGGGACACTGGACCAAACCTTTCAGGTGTTGAGGTTCCCCAGAGTTTGACCTCCAAGTTTTCTGAGCATAGGGCAGTGTTTTTTGCTCCAGTTCTAATAAAAGCATTCCAATCTAAACCAGGCTTTTTTATTTCCCCCGAAGATCTACAGCATAATGCAGATAAAAGCCACAGAGGACAACCTTGGCATGGACAAATCAGTCTGTGAACTGTAGAGCCCACAGGAGCAAACCCAGCTGGTCAGCCCAAGTTTCATGATAAAAAACATCATGAAGGCAACAAGAGACTTATATGGAAAGAGCTATCAGGAGATATTGGAAGTCACTGTGCTTTCTATAAAGAAAGAACCATCTCTGAATGCAGGGCTTGATCCAAATCCACAAGATGACAGCCTTGGGCTCAGATCCAGGAACACACTTAACTACTCAGGGAAATCTAATCTTGTGTTTAAAGTCTTCGCTCCCCAACAAGGTAATTCAGATGTGTTCCTGTGTGATGGATCTGAGTGGAACATAACTATGAGCTTAAGCACTTTCTCTCATCAAGGCCACCACAAGATGGTCACACCCTCAATTTACCATTACTGAGAATTATTCACAAAATAGCATAAAAAAACACAATGCCAGCGCTGGTCACTGCAAGTGGAGATGCAGCACCAGGTGTGGAGCAGGAGTGTGTGACAAACCCACAGCCCTGCACAGGGGCAGTGCCACCACTCACCATAGTCTGTGTCATCAGCAGCCCAGCTCTGCACCGGCCAGAAATAAGGGGTCTGCAAGGCAAGGAGCCTCCTGTTAGTGCACAAAGGCCCTGAACTCATGGACTCCTCATTCCAAGCACCAGGAATTTCCTAATTTCCCAAAGCAGTTCCAACCACGAACCTCGACACCATCCCGTTATTACTGCACTTTTTGTATATTCATTATTCAGGGCCCCCACATCGTTCTGTTTCCAACCAGCAATTCCATTTGCTACTTTAAGACGTGGAAAGGAACACTCCTTGGAGGAAAGCACAGCTATTTTTAGGTTGAACAAGTACACTCATTTCATTGAAGAAACTATCAGAGTTTCCCTGTAAAGTGCAATCTCTGTCTTTGTGCAGACTTCTCTGAGTCTTCTTCCACCTGCACAGCTACACAGCTCCTGGGAACTGCCCCTGCTTCCTGTTTTTAATAAAAACTAGTGCTGAACTCCCTCTCAACAGCTCAGAGGAGCTGCAACTCACTTGAAACCTGTAGAGGCTGCCGTCTGCCTTAAGGGTGAGGTTCTTTGGCTCCTGAAGAGGGTAGATATATCCATATTTGACAAACAGGTCTCCCAGGTGGAGTGCCTCTGAAAATGGAGAATGCAGATGTTTTCATTGCACAGAAACACTTTGCTGGAATTAAGTGAGCTCTTGTGCAGGGGAGAATTCAGCTAAAAGGTTTTGCCTCTTGAGATCTTAGTTTTACAGCTGAAAGCTGAGAAAGCCTCAATTTTCACATTTTTACCCACCTTCCGCAGTGATCTGCAAGCGCTGAAGAATCCACTGCATTATATCAACACCTGCAAAGCAAAGCAAAGCTCAGGTACTGAAATCAGGAATGTGCCCAAACCCATGGGTGGAAAGGAGATCTCTCCAGACCTCACTGGATCTGGATCCCACTGGGAGCACAGCCCCCTTTTCTGCAGATGTGCTTCCAGCTGCAAGGAGGCACAAATAAAATGCACTGCTGGGCTCCCAGGGGCTGTGCTGGCACCTCCCAAGGCATCCAGCCCTGGGAGAGGGAGCCTGAGGCAGGCAGTGACCTTGGGCTGGCACACAGGGAGTGTGCACCAGCTCACACGGCCTGAGCAACATCCAAACCCTCAGCAGCAGCTTAGAAAAGGCTTAAGGATGAAACAGCTTTCACACCCAGGGAAGGGGAGAGTTAGCTCCACCTTGCCTGGAAAGATTCACTGCAAAGAAGCTCCAGATTCACAGAGCACAGTGCTGTCTCAGTTTTGTAGAAGACCACTGACTGATCCTCTGAGAGTCCTTTAATGGGCAGAAGGGATGCCCAAATCTCAGATCCAAGCTGCAATGGTTACAAGATTTATCAAAGATTCACACACATTTTAACTCTCCTGGTTCTTCTCTTGGACTGTGAGCAGTTTTACCCATTGGCAGCATAAACCTCCAGCAGTTTTAGTTTTAGGTTCTGGGGGGTAAATATCATGAACCTCCTTCCATTTGAAGGGGGCAAAAATGCACTTGTTCCCTGATCAATTACTGGCCTTTTCCTCCAAACCTCCTCCAGGACTGCAGACTGGGGTGTTGACCTTTCTTGACATTGCAGTGATGACTTAACTTTCTAATAGGGGCTCAGAGCTCTTATCCTACTGCCTGCTTCCTGAAATAGATGAAATTAAAGGATTATCTCATCACTCATTTCTAGACAGCTCCCTCTGTAAGCACTTTCCCCCAAAGGTGCACATTTAACATTGAGGTTTATTTGTGAGCCATTTTACTGACTTTCACTGAATTTAACTAGTTAGCTTCCTGCACAGGCAGAGCCAGGCTCTCTCCAATGATGTGTGTCCCCTGCTTCAGTATCCTCACCACACCCTCATCAAACATGAATCAGTCTCTTTTGCAACACCCAGCAGCCAATCAGCACTAAAAATACCAACTAAGAGAGGGATGACCAGCACACAGGGGGAGTGGAAGTCACTTTCCTCTCAGAGGTGGACTAGAATTTATGACTCGTGCAAGACGGAACTGGCAGCAATTGTAGTTAAGGAAGCAGAGTAAAGCAGACAGCAAGCAATGAGGGGCAGTGCCAACACACCCGACACCCGGGGACTTTTAGGAAGTGGGATTTGGGCAGACATCAAGAGAAGTTCTCGTTCCCCTGCACTTCATCTGCGTGGGACGTCATCCTCTGCATGGGGAATCTCCTCTTTGTGCTGCCTTAACTATTCCCTGGCAGCTCTGGGAGGCTCCTTTGTACAGGCAAAGCCTCCACCCAGCTCAGCTGCATAACAGCTATGTGAGCCAGGATGTGGTTTGCAGTGCACGGAGAGCAGGCTTCAGATGGGTCCAAGCTCTCCTGACCCTTCCACTGACTGGCTCTTCCCATGGGCAAGTGACCTCAGTGCCTCTGCAGCCTCCTTTTTTAAAAAAAAAATGGGGCAAACAACACACTGGGCTTAGCAGGCTTTGCAAACAGTGGGGGAAATCTCTTGACTTGCCTGGAGCAAGCTCACTGGTTTCAGTGGGAGTTTTTGTTCTGAATTTCAAAGTGCTGAAGAAAGATCGAAGCAGGAGGAGGAAACTTGGGTATGGAGTATGTGTGAATATTTATAGCAGAGGATTCCTCACAAGAGCTTTTGTGGAGGCTTGGAGAACAGGGAAGCAGAGGTACTGATATGCCTGGTGAAAGGAGAAGCAGGCACAAGGAGGCTGTGATAAGAGCTGCCTGTAACACTGTACATGACACAGCACAGCTCCTGTCTGCTGCTCCTTCAGCCTCCTTGAGGCAGGCAAAGCTGTCATTTACAGGCACAGAAGTGGGCTGAATATTTTGTTCTTTTCCTGCCTACTCAAGAAAAATTATTACTAGCAGTAAACATTAAAAGGGAGACTAATTGTTTATTGCTCATTTCTGAAGTACCATCTTTCAGTCTGCCTCCAGGCTGCTTCTTTTAATTGGATTTTAATATTTATCTTTATTTGTGATCCAGCCTCACTGGGAGCATGAGATCTGGAGGCTGCAGCATGTCCTCACCTCTGTTCTAAGAGAAGGCAAGGTCACTTGAGTTAACCCCCATGAGACAGCTGAAAGTGCCTGGGGATCAACCTTTGGGTCTGATTCAAAGAGCAGGAATGAAACGAGACAGGAGTGAGAATGAGATAAAGGAAGCAGGTACATTTCAAGTGATGTACAGCTGGTATTTATTGGGAACAGAGCTCCAGCACGCAGCCAGGCACTGACAGCCCCGGGCTCTACACACAGCTTTTCTCTGCTGAGCTGGGCCCAGCTCCCCTCAGGGAAGCTCTTACCTGTCACAGCGTGGGGGATGTTGGTGATCATCACTGTCTGTGTCTGTGTCTTGATTCCTGTGTCCGGGTTCTGCATCTCCATCATGAGTGTTTCGATCTGCAAAGCAGGGGAGGGGATGGATTACAGGAGCCCTGGGAGCCACCATTCCAGAGGGATGGGCACTGGTGTGCCACAGCAAAGCATGCAGTGGCCACAGCCCTCTCTGAACCTCCCCCTGGCACCAGAGATGCCACCTCCAGCCCATGGCAGCTCACACTGCCATGGGACACTCACAGAGCCAGGGCTAGCACAGGAGCGACAGGATGGAACCACTCCGTGAGAGCTAAGGAAAAATATATATATAAAATCTCTGCTACCCATAAAGGTTCCTCTCTGGCTCACTGGGCACTTAGAAAGAAAAATGGGGAGGGAATAAAATCTGTGCTTCTGTTAGGAGGTGCAGAGGTGTGTGAGGGGCTCTCTGAGCATTCCTGTGCAGGGGGCTGTGCTCCCCACCCAGGTCTCAGCCCCTCCAGGCATGGGGCAGGGACATCCTTTCTGGAAACATCTCCTGCCTGGGACTCCTCAGGGATCCTGGGGACTCATTTCTAACAGAGGATGAGTCACACTCAGGGCCAGACAACTTCTATTTCTCATTCCCAATTATCTTTATTTCTTTTTAAAATATAAAGATTTTCAAAGGTATTTTCCTCCTCTTTGAGTTCCTACCAGCACCACTCCAAAAGCACAAAGCTTCTGCTTTCACCTGGGATCTGTGCTCACTCCTCATCTTGTTTTTGATTCTCTGAGTGCCATGAGAGCTTTGGGGAAGATACTCTTCTTTTTGTCTTCTGCTTCCAGGGATATTAAATCAAAGCTGGTCCAACAGGACCAATTTGGTCTCTCCACACATTTGTTTTGGGTGAGGCTGTAGCTTTCAAACAGAGAGTAGAGAATTTAACGAGTGTGACTTGATGACACACACACATAATGGAGGGTATTGTCTTCACAGGCACCACAGTGACTTTGGTCCCAAATCTTGCCAAGTTCTGTGAGGATTTAAGCTGTAGTGACAGGATACACTCTGGGCTTGTCAGTAAAACTAGATTTTCAATTGCTTTTAAAGGCAGTGACAAATTAATGCTAAAATGGAGAAGCCTGGTAAAATTTAACATAAATATTTGTATAAATACTTAGAAAATATTTTAAAATAGCAAAGCCAGACCAGAAGTGACAGAATATGAAGACTTTTTTTAGGTCTTTTAACAGAACTCACAATTTCAGCCTCAGAAAGTACAACTGTGTGGGATGAGGTGAGGCAGGATGGTCCAGCAGGCCAGGCACTCATTTAGGAAACTGGGATTGTCAGGGAACACCTTGGGAAGTCACTCCTTGTGACTGCACAGCCCCTTCACAGAGAACAGAGATCCTGGGGACAAGCACAGCCCTGCTCATCCCCCTGCACCAGTGACCACCCAGCAGATCCCACCAAGATCCCCCAGGTTCAGGCAGGACTTGCTCCAGGTGGGCAGCACAGCACATCCTGCTCCAGCACGCAGCTGCTGGTCCCAGGTGGGCTCCAGAGACACATCTTCAACCAGCTGAGAGCAGGGAATTGGCTCAGAAAGTCCCACAGCCCCTCAGCACAGCACGTTCCCTTCCTTTAACCAGCAACTCCAACTCGTCGTGTTCGTACCCTGCCACACTCCCTCTTTGTCACTGGAGAAATGACAAATATATTAAAAAGCAAGGGGCTGCTCTTGGGGAGTGCCTAGCTCTGGCTTCAAACCATCCACCTTGCTGATCAAAACTCAGCCTGTCTGTGTCTCTTCTCCCAAGGGAGCAGTGGATTACAGCGATCAGGAGTTGCTACCAGCAGCAGCCTGCCAGAGGGAGGCCAGGAGGGCTGCTTCAGACACAGCAGGAACACTTCCTTGCTTTGCTAAGGGCATTTTGTCGTGCTTTCAGCCAGGAAAGAGCTGTCTGGTTTGAATTTTGCAGAACCAGAAGCCACTTCCTGACTGGTTGATGGGTGGAGATGCACACAGAGGTAAATATCAGGACTGCCAAAGGAGCCAGGCTCCAGAGCTCATCTCACGCACGAGCCCCATGGAGATTTCACTCCAGATCGGCTGGACTCCCTGCCTGGAGGTGAATGCACCCTGAAAGCCACACAGGACACAACAGGAAAACTGTCTGTCCCCTCTCTGATTGCACCCTGGGTGCAGGTCCCATCCCTGTTTGCCTGAGCTTTACCCTTTGGGCACCCACAATGCAGCAAAAACAAACTCCTGGTGCTGAGACTCAGAAATGTAACAGCAAAACACTGCCAAGGTGAGGAGTTCAGGCCTCCTCAGCATCAACCCAGAGACATCTTTGCTTCAGACATAAGAAAGATCAATTTTCCCAGCAGGAATTTCCAGTTCCCAGCTGAGTGCACAGCCCTGGTGCTATAATTAAACATCTGCTGCTTTCTCCATCGTATTTGCCTGGTTCTAGTCCCCCTCACTGCCTGCTGCTGTTTGCAAGGATCAGCCCTACCTGATCTGATTTCCAAGGTAACAATACAGTCCTTATCCCCACTCTGGCCTCTGAAGGCTCATTCAATTGTTTTCTAGGTCTACAACTATCAACCTTGCTTTGTACATTGATGGATGATCAGAAAAATAAAAGAAATGAAAAAAATCCACTGTTAAACACCTAGAACTTCCTGCCTTTTCTTAATTAAAGCTGAGGAGAAGTGGCTTGTTCCCACTCTGATGCTTCAGCTAAAGGAAGTAAATCTGTGAGTGGGGAGGGCAGGGCTTTTCCCAGTCTGGAAGGGATTTTTTCCAAAGATGTGGCACTGGCATCTCCCAGCCTGGAACAGGGAAAAGGAGGATAGAATGAGGCTGAGCTTGGCCTAAGGCTCAGCTCAGGGCCTCACTTAGAGAGCAAGAGTCTGCTGGATTCCAGCAAAAACACAGTTCAGGTGCTCACACACTTCTGGGAATGCCCAGGAAGATGAAGGCCAGCAGCTGGAAAGTCTAAGCCTAGAGAAGCAAAGCCAGGCTGGAAAAGCCCCCAGCCCATGCTGCAGACCCTGGAACAGCTCCTCCCTGGCTGCTGCACAGCTTGGGAGAAGCCACCAGGGACCAGAGTGAGGAGGAGGCAGAAGAAGAAGGCATCCATCAGCCCTACCCACAAGGTGTGAGTCACAGTGCACCTCCTGTAGCACAGCAAGGGAAAATACCCAGCTCAGCAGCTGCTGGAGAGCAGAGCCCAGCTCTGCCAGCTGATGCCCAGCAGAGACAGATCTGACTGCTGGAGCAGGCACAGGTATCAAGAGCTTGGGTTCATTCAAGCTCTTGCAGCATCCAGCCGAGTGTATCCAGCCAAAATGCATTTCAGAGGCTTGCTCGCTATCCCAACAGACTTTTGGGTCATTCTTCCAGCCAAGATGGCTTAGAAGGGGGGAAAAAATAGAATAAAACAAGCTAAGTGCTAGCATGATGAGCAGGTGTTACAGGGGCCTGGGGGCCTCTGATCCCATCGTAGTTGGGCCGTAAAGACCAAGCTCCACATCCAGCCTGGGTCATTCAGAGCAGCCTCACAGCAACACAGCCCCCCACCCCTACAGCAAGCCCCTGTCCCATGTCAGGATTGCTGCTGTGGTCACCAGCTCCATGCTGGAGAGGCAGCACAGGGAGGTGCTGGCAGCTGCGAAGGCACAAGGGGCCCAGGGGCTGCAGGAATCCCTCCCTGCAGCAGCTCAGGCACAGCGTGTGTCAGCCGGCAGCAAAGCGTGAGCACAGGCTTAAGCAATTAACAAAGCTTCTTTCTAGGATTTTAGCTCCTCATGGGTCTAAGCCTGTAAGGTGCTCGCTGGGTGCACGCTGAGCACACTCAGCTGCCACCATGGGCCACCAGGAATGGTGCCTGGTGTGTCCAGGCAGCTCCGAGGATGTGGCTGTCTGCACACAGACCACACTGCCATGGAACAGCTGACATGGAACAGCTGAGGCTCCAAACACGGCTTCTCCAAGGTCTGGAAAAAACAGAGCAGGAATGAAAGTAGAGATAAGAGCCAAGGGCTTTCGCTGACCACCGGGAGCTTCCCTTCGCACTGCTGACAGGTCCTAGACTCACAAAGCACTGCAAGCGCTCAGCCCCCCCGGCTGCTCACAGTGTGAGTGGTGCACACTCTGTAACAGCCATTCCCTGTGTTTTGACTGATCTTCCCACCTGAGGAACTCAGAACACTTTGCAGAGACTGCTGCACTCCCACGGAGCAGCTGAAGCACAGCTGCAGGCGGCTGTTTTCTCAAAGCACGCAGCTTCTCCTCTGCACCCCCGCACGCAACTCCACCGAGTATTACTCAGTACAGATTTTGGCCTGGAGTATTTCCCTTGGCAGGTCTCCCCAGCCAAATTTACCGTGCAAGACATAGCACCAAAGAAAATACCCTCTTTACTTCCTCTGGTGTAGTAAGTACAGTGTATGTACTGCCAGGTTCATACCTCAGCATTGAATATCCTCAAATTCCCCTCCCTTTACCCCTGGAATCCTCCTTAGGTTGTGGGCGTTGAGGAAAACTAATTACAATTCGAACAGCAACTTGCTGCCTGTATTTGTCACTGGAAATTCAGTTAATTCCATTCAACAGGATAAGCCACACTCAGGAGAGGTGGGTGGGAGAAAAGCTAGCTTAACACTCTGCTTTTTAAAATCTGCAGATACCAGCTACACTACAACTGGCTATGCTTTGAATGAATGCTACAGAAAAAGCCTACCAAATGCTTTACGAAATTACACATTACACCCAAAAGCGTGGGCATACATCATCCCACTCCTTCTACTGCTTCTGGCCACAAATACACTCATTTCTGAAAAACTGGAAGGAGGTGGAGAACAGGCAGTTGACTGTAATACACCCTGTGAATGTGGACATCATCTGAAGGCACTGGGAGCATACACTGGACCGACTGGAGCAGGGCTACACTGGTGCTGCAAATGACGGGTTTTTCCCTGGGAATGGATGCAGCTTTGAGGGACTTTGAAGAAAAATAATGGAAGAGGGAGAAAACATGTCAGGGGAACAATTCGGCTAAGATAAGCTACAGATGATAAACAACATTACAGTCCTATTTTCTCCATCCCTCCAACCTGCCCCCTGAGCCACCTGGGATCCACAGCTCTCTGCAACAGGTCATGTCCCCAAACTCCCGGGGAGGAGCTGTCATCCCTCGGACCCCACACGGCCAGAGGTGTCCCGGGGAGCCGTGGCCGAGCAAGATGCTGTGCACACACATCACCCCAAGCTTCGCCAGCGCTGCCCTGGGCATCGCATCGCCCCGCCCGGCCCCGGCGTGCCCATAATGGTGCGGCTGTCCCCGGCGCTGCTGAGGCCTCACCTTTTTCAGGAAGGCCATCCTCGGGCGGTAGCGCTGGCCCTGGTCGAGCCGTGTGACGGTCATGGTGGCGGTGCACGGCGGAGCGGAGCGCGGCGGCGGGGCGGGCCCGGCCGGCCACAGCGGGCTGCGGACACCGACACCCGCCGGGGGCGGCGCCACCGCCGCGCGCCGCAGCCAATCAGCAGCCGCCGCCCCGAGCTCATTTGCATGAAGGCACGGGGCGGCCGCCTGGGGGCGCTGGTGGGAGCGCGCGGAGGGGAGGGGAGGGGATGGGATGGGATGGGATGGGATGGGATGGGATGGGAGGGGATGGGATGGA